CCCCAAAACCCCAAAACCCCAAAACCCCATTTGAATTTAATGATAGAAGAATTCTAGTGATAAATTATTAGCTAATTAATTTATAAACGAAAAGATAAGCCTTGTAGTTAGATAATTTCATAAGTTGTTGCGGAAATCCAAAGACGAGGGAATGTAATATAATAGATTCATTTTAGAGAAAACTCATTAAGATTATTAATCTTGAATAAGCAGAGATTATTTGTGCTTTTCGTATTGTAAAAGTTACTCTTCATCGTAGCAATACTCATCAAAATTAGGTTCATCCTTTTCCATTAGTCTTTATTTCAGATTTCTGTTTTCCTCAAGAATCGTCTTAATAAATTATTTTAGTTAGTGATTTTCTTCTTGATAATTGTTCAACCTCTCCGTAATTCTTTATTGCAATTGGATCAGTTCAACTTTGCAATTATTCTTGTCTGCCCTCAAATTCCTGAAAGAAACATCACCTGCAAGCGGTTATAAGTGTTTTGTATTCATATCTGGAGAGAAACCCATCATTGGAGTACTTATCTGATCCATTGATGTATCAAGTCCGTTACTATTAAGGCTTCCTTTCACCATGAGCAAGCTAGAACTAGCTCTCTCTCTTATTTGCCAATCGTCTATGTCCTAGGAAACTTTAATTGGGATATTAGGGAGTTCAATCTAGCTTACATTCTTCTGAGTTTTTCTTTTTGGTGCATTATTCATAGGGCTGTTATCGTTTATCTATTTTAATAATTCTGAAGATAATACTTTAGTAAGAGACTATGATCCTTTAGAAGGTCCTCTAGACTTTCTTGATCGTATTAAACCAAGTTCTTTTGACTAGGCATTTACTGCTATAATTTTACGAGCTACCCTTTAATTGTTATATTTCTATTCTTGATTCCCATTGTTTATTTATGATGTGCTTAGACTTGACTACGTATCATCCTTTTTTATTGAGGAGTTCCTTGATTAGGATTTGTCAATAATTGCTTTTATCTTTAATCTGTTTTTTTGTAATTCCTTATTTGCCAAGTTTCTTTGATAATACTCTGATCTTTGATTATCTAATGGATGCTGATTATAGCTTAGTTTTGGAGATTAAAAGTGAGAGGATGATATACTTCCGAGACTTGCTGTATGACCAGTCTAAAAGTTTTATCCTAAATTAGTTACTGGTCTTGGTCTATCCATTGTCATCTTGCTTTTAAGGTACTCCTCACCAACATATTTTTGATTTATTATACTTGCATTTTTTGTACTAGGTGTTGCTAAAGAAGATGGATTTGTTGTTTGACTAAGCATATTTGTGCTGTTTTTCCCTCCAGAATTCAGAAATATTTTGAAGAAATTCTAGTTCAATTGCTTGATAATTTTTCTATCTTCAGATGTGGTGGTCTTAATCCCGAATAAAGCCATTGATTAAGGATTTTACTACAAAACAGATTATGTGCCTTACTTCGTGTTAATGAATAAAGGTTTAATTAAAGAGTGGTTATAGTTGTAGTTATTTGGAATGGCAACATACTCCTTACTAAGCAAATGCTAATGACTCCCAATTTATTTATTTTACTCCATTAGTTTATAATTTTTTACAGTCTGCGCAATACTGTCAACAGACGCCTTTACTTCAATATTCTATTGCTACAGGGTCTGTATAACCAGTGGCTTTTAGATGTGAAATCTAGGCTAAACTTTGTTGGTAAAGTCAAGTTCAGATTTTACTTTTTTATGTTTGATTTTTAGTTTAAGCTTGCGGCTTATATCTAGACATTGATTATCAAGTTATTGCTACATATAAATTAGATTCTATATATTAATATAATAATTCTTTTTTAATTATAAGCATCAATTTAACTCAGCGGGGTTTTGGGGTTTTGGGGTTTTGGGG